TATTCATGGAGGGATGGAGAGAGGTAGCAAAGAAGAAAGAGCCAGAAGAGAACAGGCACTGGAAATAAAGAGGATTTAGAACAGTGTCATTGGGCTTATGAGGATCGATGCTGGATGACAGATGAAAAAAAGGAGAGGACATGGGACAAGATGGTTCCAGAAAACCTATTGACAAACCTGCCTCCATTTCACCCAATCCTTAGACTTGGAAATACAGGTGCCTGCCCTGGCCCGTGTGGGTAAGCGATGCCGGCCCACTGGTGATGGAATAAGGACCCCCAGAGGCCGCCCCAGCAACTGAGGCAATTGCTGCTATGTAAGAGGAGGACTAGCACTGCCTAATCTGGATGTTAAAGAAAATGCTTGAAATACAAATGGCCAAAGCAAAGCCTCCCGTGGGGCATACCTGGCCATTGGAGGTCTGTTTGCTGTGATGAGGCTTATCACCTCTCCCTTCTGTGCAGCCTATGTAAAGGCAGCATGAACAGGAGGTTTCCTAGGGGACAGACAAGGCCTCCCCAGCCCCACTTTGTCCCGAGGGGATGGACTAGGTGGAGACTCTCTACTAATAGTGACTACAAGTGCGCATGAGAAACCTCCACCTGCTGCTGTGAATCGCACATGCTGATATATCAGAAGGACGTGTTCAAGCCAGAGCAGCCTTCTCTATGGAAACCTGCAGGCTACCTCAGACGCAGCTCCTACCAGGAGGAAGGGCAACAGCTGTGAGTGCAGCTGGGATCCTTTTAAGGGCTCTGATAGCAAAAACTGGCTATTCTCACGTTAACAGAAAATGAGAAAGGTTTTCATTTAAAAAAAAAAAAACTTAAAGTGTTTTTTTCTCATCCACTCATCTTTGCAATTTCCAAGTGATTTTGGATATGAAATATAGCCTTGTTTCCCTGCTGTCTCCTTTCTGATCTATATACTAGATTTTAGAATGAGATTCAATCATCTACCAATGCCCTTTGTCCTCTTTTCTTTCCAGAGAGATGTGTTTTTTTGTTTTGGGTGTGGGTATCGGGGTTTGGCTTTATCACTCAAGGCTGACCCATATCTCAACTTCTGAATTCTTGGTGGTCAATTGGAGATAAGAGTCTCAACAGACTTTCTTGCCAGGGCTGGCTACAAACTGCAATCCTCAGATCTCAGCCTCCTGAGTAGCTAGGATTACAGGGGTGAGCCACCAGGGCTCAGTGTGTGTTGGACTTTTTATCATCTGCTTTATAATCGAGCCCTATGGACCATAAATGGTTAACCTTTGTTCTACCAGGTGACACTCCCTCGGACTTCTTTGAACTAAGTGTATGATTGGCAAAAGTGATGGAGGAATTTAAGTCGTTCCATATAGAGCAAGCCAGGCATGGGCAAAAGGAAAAGAGACAATACTGTCTTCTACTAGGTCCTGGAGACTGAATAAGGTTTTTTGACACACCCCTTGTCATAATGGGAGAACAAATCAAGACTATTCCCTCCATCACCACCATGTTCTTGTCTTTCCTAAAGACTTCTAGGTAGCCAACTAAGAAGGCCAGTGATTCCATCTAGTCTTCCTTTTTTGAACATGACCTGGGAAAGAAGTATGCTTTATTTTTTAATTTGCAATATACATGGCAATATCAATTACCCCCAAACTCCTCAGTCAGCACTACTGCCTCCACCATGTCCCTTGCTGGCCATGGGGGCAGAGAGGCTTGCTAGCGCAGACAGCCTCCAGCTCACCAGGGTTCAACTTAGCACTTTTTCACTTGCTGATTGTGCACATTTGGTAGAAACGATACTTCCAGTTTCCAGGCTTGAGCCTTTCTTGGGCTGGTTTGACCTCCCTCTTAATGGCCTGGCAAAAGCCCAGGCAGCCTCAAAAATCATGACAAGAAACAACCCACACTGCAGAATGCTGTGATGTTAATCTGGGAGGCTCAGGAGACTAGGTGGGTTTAATCTATATTCTACTTCCGGTCTTTTCAACCTTTGACATGTTTAGTCAGATGTGGCCCCATTGTGGAGCATTAGCAGCTATAGTTAAGCTGCTTCGTTCATTCCACTGAGAATGGGAAAAAAGGAAAAACCAGAAGTCATTCTGTTTTTTCTGGTTTCTGGAAAACTCCTTAACATCATTGGGAAATGACCCTCATTCAACTCCTGGTGTTATAATCAGTTGCAAAATGAGTTTGGTTAAATTCAGAGCTTGCTTATTGTTATGATTATAGGACCCTGCAGGGTCCCAGCCCCTTTTTGCCTTCTTACCCACCCACCACATGCTGGGTGGCACAGCTGCACTAAAACTTACCTTGGAGAAAATGGATGGTCCTAGAACTAATCATGTTAAGTGAAGTAAGCCAAGCTTAGAAAGACAGAGTATAGCGCTGGGAAGGTGGCTCAGTGGTAGAGCGCTTGCCTTGCATGCATGAGGCTCTGGGTTCAATTCCTCAGCACCACATAAGCAAAAAGAAAAAAGCCAGAAGTGGCGCTGTGGCTCAAGTGGTAGAGTGCTAGCCTTGAGCTGAAGAGCTAAGGGACAGTGCCCAGGCTCAGAGTTCAGGCCCCACGACTGGACCCAAAAAAAAAAAAAAAGAGTATATTTGGAAGCTACATTTAATATAGACTGTAATATGGTAAAATATATAGGACTTAGGCGTTTACACAGTGAGACCAAAGAAGGGTATTCTTAGTGGAAGAACACTAAGGTGCAATATCTATATGCATAAAATATATTAGCAAAGCAAACTCCAGGAAATGGAAACCAGAGGTTTTTCTTTGTTGCTATTTCTGTTTATTCTTTTTGTCTTGTTTGTTCATCGATCTGTCTTTGTGAGGGTAAGTAAGGGGGCACAGAAATGGAGGGACAAAGGGCGAACAAATGCAGCAATGGTACTCACTAGATATGACGTTGAAAATAAACTACACAACTTGTAGATAAGGACAGGAGGGAAAATCGGGACGAGAGGCAAGGAAGGGGTGACATTATCTAAAAAGAAATGTAAGTAACTATAACCCCTCTGTACATCACCTTTATAATAACAATTTAAATTTTTTAAAAAAACTTACCTTGGAGAGGAAGGAGAAGCAGCCTGCGGCTGCCTAGGAACATTGGCCCCAGGGCTGGCCCTGCGCAGGTGCTGTGGGGACCCAGAGTCATACCATGTTACAGTTTTGCCACCTATATTCTACATTTAGGGGGGGCCATTCAGAGCTAAGCAGCACAGAATGCATACATTGCAACGCGAATTAATTTACTCATTTGGTGGTCAGTCACACATGGCTTTAGTTGTTACATGCAAGTGCTTAGCTGGATGCCATCGCTGTGGCCAGGTCCCTCCACCCATCCATCCATCACCTCTCTAAATTCATCTAGCCTCTGCCCCCCTTTATGGATTTCCACCCAGCCTCCCTGAATGATCCCGACATATTCCTGCCTCTGGATATTTGCACCCGATTTCCCTCACAGAAAAGTTTTCCCCTAGGTATTCAAGTAGCTTGCAGTCTTCACTCATTGGTCACTGCCTCAGCACTGAGCCCTCCATTACCCTCTCCTTCCCCAACACTTACCCGCCCCTGGTTCTCCTCCAATCACATTTTCTTCTAAGTGTCCTTCACGACCTAGCATGCTATGTATTGCTCAGTCATCTCAGGAACAGAAGCTCCCTGGTGGCAGGGATGATGGCTACTTCAGTCCCTGCCCTGCTTCTACCAGTAGCCAGTATGGAATAAGCAATGTAGAAATTAAGGGTGGATGAGCAAGGTAGGCAACGAACCCGGAAATTTAGGTCATATTCTATTCAAGGGACTAGCGGATGGCCAAGAACCCAAACACAGAGTGCAGTGTTGATCAGCACAGATTTTGCCATTATATTCACCTTCTACTAACTCCATGGTCCTTCAGAGTTTTTATTCTTTGCTTAAAGGATAAAAGGTCTCACCTACATGGGGCACCATTTTTTTCCTCCTGTGTGCACATGTGTGGCATCCATGAACAATACCCAGAGCGGCAGCCTCCCATCCACAAACTGAAGCCCACATAATCAAAGTGACAAAGACCCCAGAGAAGTTAACTTCCTTGTTGCAAGACATCTAGCATTCAAATAAAGTGAAAGTTAAAATACTAGTCACTGCACTGGTAGCTCACGCCTGCACTCCACGCTACTCAGGAGGCTGAGATCTGAGGATCATAGTTCAAAGCCAGCCTGAGCAAGAAAGTCTGTGAGACTCTTATCTCCAATAAACCACTAGAAAACCAGAAGTGGTGCTGTGTGGCTCAAGCTGTAGAGCACTTGCCTTGAGCTGAAGAGCTGAGGGATAGTGCCCAAGCCCAGAGTTCAAGCCCCAGGACAGACCAAAACAAAAAACACTAGTCACTGTTCTTGATAATTGCAAGAAGACTTCCAATTTTTAGCTATTGCCTATGAATAATGAATAGTAAAATGGTTCTTTGTGTAAAATGGCATTTATTCAGTTTTTAGTGAAAAGTTAGCAAAAAGAAACACCAAAAAGAGAGCTTCCCTGAGAGATTCAATTAAGCATTGGGCACAACGGTGCAAAGACCATGTTGCAACACTGAGGTGGCCTGTTTTTCTGGTCATTATTAATCCAGAAACCTTAATGATGAGCAACATTTGCGTTATTGTCTCCCCAAATTTAATTTGTTATGCAGCAGTTCAGTTAATCCTGCAATCTGTTTTTCTCAAACGAGGGCAGATAATGGAGACACCGTTCTTTACAAATCTTCAGGCTTTTAAATTCTGATAAAATCAGGATTCTTCACTGGGTCTTGCCCCAGCTCTGAATTAAACCACTTTAAATGTAATTATGGAACCTGGCCTTACATCAGGAACATCCATTTAAAAAATTGATTGGCCAGCCTGTTCCACGAGGCATTTTATGAGCAAACGATTGCAATGGGGCCAGAACTGTAATTTATCAAGGCAAAAAAAGCAGGTAAATACTTTATTAGTGGTAATGAGAGGGTTGCCATCTAACTGAATCTCTTCTTCCCTCACCAGCTACTTCACGGAGTCGTGGTGCCTGGCCGTATTCCACGATCGGTTTATTGATCTCAGGAAAGAGTTACGCCAAATCTTAGTCTCCAAGGAGGTATGAGTAATTAATGGATATGTGGATTATTTCTTGCAAATTATAAGCAGTTGATAAGCTATTGATCATTTGGACTTCCCTCTACATTTCCATTGTATGGTTTTACTTTATAAACCAATGGCACTTAGTGTTATCAAACTATGGAGAATATAAGCGTGGATGGTGATATTTCAGAAAAGTGATTTTCCTTAAATTTGATGAGAAGGACCTTTCCTTTCCTTTTTTTTTCCTTTTTCTTTTTACAGGTAAGCTCTGTTTTTTGTGATTAGCTACCATTGATGGCTGAAACTTGGGTAGGAGTTGTATTTTCTTACCCTCAAGAATGACCATCACATTCCTTCGGTTTCTGTCTATACTGGACAGCCATTCACTGAATACTTCAAAAACTATGAAGAAGCCAGGCACCAAGGCTCATGCCTATATCCTAGTGACTCAGGAGGCTGAGACCTTGAGGATCAAAGTTTGAAGCCAAACCAGGCAGAAAAGTCTTTGGGAATCTACCTCCAAAATAACTATCAAAAAGCTAAGCTGGAAGCATGGCTCAAGTGGTAGAGCACCAGCCTGGCAAACACAGTACCACCAAAATATAAAAAGTTTTAAAAATGTAAAGAGAAGTCATCCAGAGGGCCAAAACTCCTTTTATAAATGACACTTTTTAAGCCGGGCGCTGGTGGCTCATGCCTGTAATCCTAGCTACTCAGGAGGCTGAGATCTGAGGATCACGGTTCAAAGCCAGCCCGGGCAGGAGAGACTGTGAGACTCCTATCTCCAATAAACCACCAGAAAACCGGAAGTGGCGCTGTAGCTCAAGTGGTAGAGCACTCACCTTGAGCTGAAGAGCTGAGGGATAGTGCCCAGGCCCAGAGTTCAAGCCCCACGACCGACAAAAATAAATAAATAAATGAAACTTCTTAAAGTGATACAGAATCAGCTGTAAGTCAGAATGTATCCCAAACGCTCCATACTGAGACAGAAGTTTGACAGTGCTATATAAATAAGGAGGCATTAGTGAAAGTTTAAATTATGTCTAACAATATTCCTTAGCTGAGCTGTGAAAAGTTAGTATCTGTGCCTCGAGAGATGTAGATGATCCATCCTGGCTCTGCCTTGAATCACGCAAACAAGGGCTGGGGCTTTGGTGAGTTTCCACTTCATTTCACTGAATAAAGGGGCAATTCCTATGTCCCCATTGTCGCCTCCACTGGAGAGCATGCACAATCTTGTAGATTCTGTGGTGGAGGCTGACATATTGAAGATCTCAGGTAGAGATCCCAAACTCAGTCCTCACTACAGGTCAGCTCCCGCACCACCTCAGTAGACTAGAATTCTCTGAGGTGGATGGAGCCACCACCATGATCACCTTGACCTTACAAATGAAGACATTGAAGCTCACAGATTTTAAATATCATGGTTTACACAGCTCCTCACAGTAACCAACAAGCTCCAAACTCAACAGTTTCTTCCCTCCCCAGATGGAAAGATAGACCCTAAGCCATATAGGCCAGCGCAAAGCCTCAGTGCCTTCACTACAACACCCTACCTTTCCAATATAGATTCTAGGACCCAAGATGGAAAATGTTAAACAATTTACTAATCCAAAATGGAGATTGGGAAACATAATTTTAAAGTTTAAACCCAGATGACATGCTTTAGGATCAACACCGGTAAGAACCCAGCAGGAGAATATAAACGAGGGAAGAACTTTCATTACAGAATTGAATTTCCTGCTGAGCCTGGAGCCTTTGGGATGTGTACCTAATTTCCAGTTAATTCAGTATCACTGTGAGGAAGAAGCAAAATGATCAAATGCAAAAGTCAGACACTGCTTAAGTCGTTCACACTGAAACACGCATACTTACACCCCTCAAAAAATCAAGTCCCTTTGTAGAATGGTGCATAGCTTTTGCCTAGAACCCACATGCATCTTCTTGCATACTTTACATCATTTATATCTAGATTACTTCTGATGCCCCGTACAATGTCAACACTATGTAAATAGATGTAATGCTGTGTTGTTTAGGGAATAATGACAAGAAAAAAAAATCTGTGCATGTTTAGTACAGAAGCAGTTTTTTCCCAAAATATTTTTGACCCATGGTTGGTTAAATCTTTAATAGCATAACCTGTAGACATGAAGGTTGTCATTGTTAAAGATGAGACAGATCAGAAAGGTACCTGCACTGGAGGGGCGGAAATCAGTTCTGGTTGACACCTGAACCATAACTGTAATCCTGGTGCTTCCTGTATTCTGCTCAACTCCTTCGTCACCTCCCTTCCTCTAAAGCTGTGATCTACCTGTACTGCTGACCCTCTCACGCCCCCCACTAGTAAAGATCTAACTCTTTCCTAGTGACCTGTGAAAGCTTTTATCTGGCTGGGCCCCAGTGGCTCACTCATGTAATCCAAGCTACTCAGGAGGCAGAGATTTGGGGATCGCTGTTCAAAGCAAGCTTGGGCAGGAAAATCTGTGAGACTCTCATCTCCAATTAACCACCAAAAACCCAAAAGTGGGACTGTTGTAGAGGGCTAGCCTTGAACAAGAAAGTTAAGGGACAGCGTCCTGGCCCTGAGTTCAAGATCTAGGACTGGCACCAATTAATTAATTGATTGATTCTGTCTAAATCCTTTTTAGCTCCAGATCTAAACTCCTCAGGTAGAATTTTACACGCAGAACTAAAGGATTTTAGGATGTACAAAGTGGTTTGTTGTTGCATGAACAAGAACACTATTTCCAGAATATACTAGAAGCCAAAAAGTTTATGAAAACTGTTACTTTACTTTCTTTAATGAAATTTAATTTGCTAATTTTCTAGGGGTTCAAAAGAAGGAAAGAGGGAAGGGCGAGAAGGCAGAGCAGTGAAACGATCCTACATGTGATGCTGATGGATATGTTCTGATGCCCAGTGTACTGTCTCTGCTCTGTAAACAGATGTTGTACTAAGTTCTTTAGAGATTCATGTCAACAGCTAGGGGATGCACAGAGTACACCCCATTAGAACACTGTAGTTATAGTAATTCATAGTAATAGTGAGGTATAAAGGCCATCAGTTGTTTGAAAAAAAATTATTTCCTTGCACCTTTCCAAGTAAACTGCCAAACCAATGGGCATACATCAGTTTGGATGGCAGCTTCCAGTTTTATCCATGAGCTGGCATTTGCTGAGGTTAGTTTGCTGTGAACGAGCTCCTTGTGGGCAGGGGCTGTAGTCATCTGCCAGAAGCACAGTGAAGGCTCCCCAAACATTCTCGTGGGTTTTCAAGATATCTAGAAAGCAAAACCTCCAGAAAGGAAAAAAAAATTCTTATTTCAGCATTGCCACTTGGCACAAGGACAGCCATATAGCTGTAGCCATGTAGCCCAGGCAGTGGTATCTGCTGTGAGTCAAGCTGGACCATCCAGCATGGCTTTGTCAGCTCCCTGGATCCTTGTGGTACCTTTTAAGATTCTGGTGACAGGAAAATAAGTGTAGCCTGCACTAAAGAATAGCAAGAATTCATTGGGCAGCAGTGGCTCATGCGTGTAAATCTCAGCTACTCAGGAGGCTGAGATCTGAGGATCATATTTGAAAGCCAACCCAGACAGGAAAATCTATGAAACTCATATCTCTAGTTAATCACCAAAAAATCCAGAAGTAGAGCTATGGCTCAGTGTAGTAAAATGCTAGCTTGAGCAAAAAAGCTCAGGGATTGCACCCAGACCCTAAGTTCAAGCTCAGGGACCACCAGACCAGCACAAAAAAAAGGGAGGGGGTGATAGCTGGGAAAATCTGGTAGAGAGAGCAAAGGAAAGAATTGGTCAAAAAGAAATGTACTCATTGCCAGACTTATGAAATGATAACCCCTTTGTATATCACATTAATAAAAAAGCAATAATTCTGACATAGTTGCTAAGCTACAAAGAAAGCCTACGGAATGGGAAAAGATAATTTGCCAACTATACATCTGGGCCTAATATACAAAGAGCTCAAGAAGCTAAACTCAACAACCCAATTGGCAAAAGAGCTAACTAGAAACTTCTCACAACAATAACAAACACATGAGTAAATACATAACATCACCGGACATAAAGAAAATACAAATTGAAACAACATTGAAATTGTTATCTCACCCTAGTAAGACTGGACAGCTTCAAGACTACAAACAACAAACACTGGCAAGATGTGGGGGAAAAGGAATCCTGTCACAATGTTAACGGCAATGTAAACTAGAGCAATCACTTTGGAACACAGTTTGAAGATTCTTTAAAAAAAAAACAACAACAACAATAGAACTATCCTATGATCCAGCAATACCATTCTGGGCATTGATTAAAAATATCACAAGTCAGGATACAGTAAAGACACTTGCATATACATATTTTAAAATGTTACTAATTTGAGGGATGGATGGGACTGAGAAGGATGGATTAAAACAATGGAAGGCGTGATACTGATTGATGCATTGTATTCTGACTTGACCTGAAACCCCTTTGTACAACTTAAAATACTTCAAAGAATAGCAATAATTCCTTGTATCAAATATTGAGCTAATGTGACCCATTTCACTTTGCTTTCTACCTTGTTTCAGAAAAGCATAGAAATCAAACTATTAGTTGAACTTCCAGAGCCTGTAGAGAAAAGAACTAAGAAAGATGGTCATCTGTGGCTATTATTAGAAGTCATTTCTAATCTATATATCATTTGTTTAAAAACAAACCCTCATTGTAAGACATCTGACATTTCTCTGTAGAGAAGTCAGAGAGGAACAGACTATAATTTTACTGGGATTATCTTTTAGGGCGATTATATTTTAGCTATAAAATATGAGTCACTGACCACTGTGACATTTTGTGTGGTTAACACTACCCTTTAAGGAATATAATGACAATTATAAATATATGGACAACTAACAACACTATCCTGAAATACATGAAGCAAAAGTTGACAAATAGTGTGAAGTAAGAATTGAAGGACTGGGATGTAGTTCAATGGCAAAAATGCTTATCTAGCAATTACAATGTGC